CGTGAACCCTCTCGACTCGCCGAGTCACCAGAGGGACTCGATGAGTTCTCGCGTAATCAGTTCCTTCCAGTAGGATTTAAGGTTTCAAACTTCAGATACATACTCTCCTAGTGAAGATATCACGTAAAGTTGCAAACTTTACATGCATGCATAGTATCACATGGCCATAACACTAAAACTAACATTCAAACAAGGTTCTTATGCATGGAGAGGGAATGAGATCAATAAAAGATGCAACTTTATAATACTTGGGGCCTAATAAGGTCCAGATCTGGAACCATATCATTGTGATAGGTCCAGATCTAAGCTTGCTTCCATTTCCTCAAAGTTGGTCACAACTCTCAAATATAATTTATGTTTAAGGTAACAGATTCATACCTCAAATCAATGCCGAAGACGAACTAGATGCTAGATCTAGTGTTTTCCCCTTGATACTTCTTCTTGAAGCTTGGAATCCTCCCCAAAATCTCATGGATAAGCTCCCAATGGGTCTTACTTCACTCACAAGAGGGTGTGCAGCCGTAAAAGTTCTTCTATGGTGCTAGGGAAGCTACTGGGGCGGATAATGACGTTTATAAGGGGGGGAAACCCAAAATTTAGAGTTTTCTTTAAACAGCTCGTACTCGTCGAGTCGGTCTCGTTCCACGTTTCATGAACTCACGACCCTACTCGACGATTTGACCTCCCAACTCGCCAAGTCCATGCATAAATCCTTTCCAATTTAAACGAGGTGTTACATGCTCAATCTGAAATTCGAATTTTAGGCTGTATACTGCTATACGAAATCTTAGAAAAATCATAATTTTCTCATACGACGTCAGATTTTGACGTTCTTTTTATGCACACTATCGGTTTAATGTATACTAAAACTTTCTTTTAGATATCTAAGGCTAAAAAGTAGTTTATCAAAAATTCACTTTCTCATACGACGTCAGATTCGAATTTTAACGAGGTGTTACACGCTCAATCTGAAATTCGAATTTCGGGATGTATACTGCTATACGAAATCTTAGAAAAATCATAACTTTCTCATACGACGTCAGATTTTGATGTTCTTTTTATGCACACTATCGGTTTAATGTATACTAAAACTTTCATTTAGATATCTAAGGCTAAAAAGTAGTTTATCAAAAGTTCACTTTTTACGATTCCAGTGTTGTATCGGTTTTGCCGTAAAACTTCGACATGTCATAACTTCTTCGTTATAACTCGAATTTCGGCGTTCTTTATATTTTCGGTACCAAATTTTTCATAGATATTGGATTTATCTACACTTTATTTTCACTCATAATTTATTATATTTTATAAATAAGTATAATGCATATAAATTCACATAATTCACATAATACTCTAGTAATTCCTCTTTATTACTTCAAAGCGGGTTACAATGGCTGATCCTAACTATTATATCATCGCATTAATGCTTAGCCTAGAAACACAGATGTTACATCATAGTCATTGTATGGTGATCAATTTGGAATTTCATAAATAGATGTGTATTTGATACAAATAAACCGAGAAGGGATAAAATATTTGATGACATAGTTTTGATTGCTTTTAGTTAGGTGGTTGGTATTGACATTCCTTATTCTTTATGCCCGATTTGTAACAACTCTACATAAGATATCCGGAATGTGCTGATCGAGTGTGAAGTGGTGAGAATATGAATATATTTGAAGATTTCAGAAAGAATTAAACAATATGAATTTTCAAGATTACAAAAATGATCGACGATTAGGGTGGTATGGTAAAAACAACACAGCTAACACAGATTTATACTAGGAGTTAACTATGAACCTACGACTTTGTTCCTTATCATCATCACCATCAAAGTCATCTTCACTTCCTCACCCAAAGTACGAACCTTCATGTAAGTTTGGGGACTCACAACACAACTCTTTATATTCCTATCCCTCACAATCATAGAACCGTTGTTGAATAAAGAAAGAAAATAGATACCACATTTCCTTTTTATGTCATCATCATTCATTAGAACTCGGTTGTTGTTGTCCTAATATACCTAAACTTTCAAATAACTCTTTATCTTCTTTTGTTGGTTTTTGTTAACTTGTAGATACCAATTTTTTTTTGCATCCTCTTATACATCTCTTGGTATGCAATGAATTAATCCACAACCACCACTTTCTTTGCATCACGTTTGACTCCCTTGTATTTTACATTTAACTTCCTTGTATTTTACTTTCACTCCACCACTTTTCTCATCCTCATTACATTCTAACTTAGACCCCTTGCTCCATCATCACGATTCTCTATGATCCTTGACCCTCCCGGACGATAATTGAGGGCATCTTTGATTAACTATTTGATGTGTCGGACCACACTATTCCATGCTTGTTCTACATCCCCCACATGCTCAACAAAAGCTTCTATGTTTAAGGTTGCCTTATCCTTAAAAGCCTAAAAGCTTCGTTCGTAGTCCATATTAAGTTTTTCCATAAGATCCTTGTTATCATGTGTATGCTTATTCTTAAAAGGAGGTCTACAACTAACAATCTTTGTTGCAATACACAAGCATCTTAGTAATAGTCTTTCAATCTGTGCATGCCATAAGGTTACAAGGTTACGCCTGTACAACAATAGGTAGTTGATTTGGATGTTATGCAATCCATTCTGGAAGGTAATCTAATGAGTATCCCTCTTTTTAAATTAGTATGAGATCGCTTAATTGGTTGAAATTTACTGCTCAAAACGATGATATTGTAGGTTCGAGCCTTACTAACATTGTTGGAAACATTTTGATGTGATTGTCACTTGAAATAAGTTCGGTCTATGTCTATATCTGTCTAATAAACATTATAAGAATGTTTCAGGTTGGAAAGATCCTTAAGATTTAACAAGTGTTTGAAGAATCAGATGTTGGAGCATTGGAAGTTGTCATGGAGCACTTGCCCAACATGGAGCACTTACAGCTTACATGGAGCACTTGTTGAACATGGAGCACTTGAAGAAAGCAAGCTGGATCAACATGATCTCAGATGTCACATCTAGATCATATGTGGAGCATCAAGATATTGGTGGATCATTTGGAATATTGATGATTCATCAGAAACATTGTTGGCTCATCCATAACTCTATGGCTCAACAAAACGTTGATGGATCAACATGAATACTTGGTGGCTCATCTCAACTCAATGGATCAACATGATCACATTGATGGCTCAACAAGATTGCTCATGACACATGCATTCCGTTCATGGTCCATCATGAACACGTACATCTCCAAGTTCAAGATGCATTCCAACATTCAACAAACAACTCAGCTTGATCAATGACACCTCTGGAAGTTGATGATATCTTAGAAGACAATAGAGCAACATGATGCTCATCACATTTTCAATGTTGATCAAGAAGGTCTAGAAATATGAAGACTGATAACTTGGATGGAACCCTAACGGAATACTAACGGAATTGGAATATTCCATCCATTCTACGTTAAGTATGGCGAATGTGTCAACTGCTGACTAAGTCATGATGACATGTCAACACCTGATTGGTCAAGCCATGTCATGGGCTTTTCCGAAGCCTATAAATAGGTCATTTGAGATCCATCATAAAGCTGCTCTTCCTGTTTCATTCCTGCTCAATTGTTGTTTAGATTAGTTTTCATAGTGTCATTTGAGTGTTTTAATGTGTTTACCATTCAAACACTTGTAACTGAATTCTAATAAACTTGGTTAATTCATAACTCTTTATTTTCCGCATGACTTGCCACTTGATGATTCTGAAACTCTATTTCAGTATTTTCAACACTTGACTCTTCTAGTCTAGGTTTAGTGAACATTTTTCATCTTTTTAAACATATCATGTGTTGTAGCATACTCAAGAAGTGAGTGACCATCATGTTACTAGTGTCAAAACTATAGTTTCCTTGCACCCATGGGTACCAATCAATCTTTGTATATGTCCATCGAAGTCTCCTCTAAGGTCAAACATTGGTCCTATGCTTCTAAGTATATCATCCAACCACATCCCAAAAACTCCTCTTTTCCAAGTCACCTAACTTACTACAAGGAGCATACGCACACACAATGCTCACCACCTCCCTTCATGCCACCATCTTACAAGTTCAACCACATTGTGTCTAGCTATGGCATGGAGACAACAGGACACCCACTTTCTTTTTTTTTTTTTTTTTTTTTTTTTGTAGTCTTAAATACAACTTACATAAGTTACACACATTACACCCTCCAGCTTTCACCCATTTCCACTTGATCTAACGTATATAAGCTATGCTCACTTCCTTTTTCCTTAAACCCTAGATCGAACAACTTCACATTTCACATTCAAAGAACCAACACTAAGGGTGCAAATTCCCAACCTAGTATCCTCTATACTGGCAACCGTTGTCGTCCAGCTAGGCCTCCTACGAATGGAAATGTAATAAAAAAAATATGGAGTATAAAGGTTACGGAAAATGTAATTTTCAAAAGCACAACTATTGTTTCGAATTGCCTTCGTATCCATCACCATAACCACCACCCACCCCCATGGTCCACTTCATGTATACCATCGGATTGAAGTTGGAGTCAAAAAGTCAACTCTCACAAAAGTAACCATCACTATCACTTTCTCTTTGAGAGTGTGGCACGTTGAATTAGTAAAATTTGAAATGATTTAAATTAGTATCAAACCATACATGTTTCCAGCTACAAAAAGTCAACATACGGAATCTTAGAAGCTATTAAAGAAAAGCAAGAAAAAGGAGCAACTTGGCATAATGGATGGACTCCTTCAAAGATCCTAAAACCAAATGGAAATCCAGATTCCCATAATTTCCTTTCTTTTCTGGATTTAATTAATTATACAAATAAAAAAGAAAATATTAATTTACATCAAAATAGTAAAAATCCATATCACTAATTTAAATTTTAAACTAACTTACTACAAACAAGACTCAACACTTACCACACTACAATTGCAGACACAGAAAATGTAAGTCTACTCACAATTCGTGGCCCATTAACCAACTTTCCAACTGCTCACTGCTTTCCCATGTCTTTTCCGGTGAACTCACCACCACCACCACCACCGCGTCCAAATGACGAAACCGCCCTTGTAACATCAAGACTCCCGCCAATAGATGTCATTAAAGCCGATAAACCATTGGTGGTTCCACCACCAGCCGCCATACCCAACCCAAGAAAATCAAGAGTCGCATGTTTAGGCCCATATACAGATGGCGTCCCCATCATGAGTTCTTCCAAACCAGACCGCCCATCATACCCCACCCCTAACCCTAACCCAATTGTCGCACCACCACCACCACCGCCGCCGCCGCCACCGACATCCGAGTCATCTAACCGCCCACCATCAAGCCCGTATCCTCTAAGTAAAGACGCACCTGAGGCGGATGCACCCATCTGAGCAGCTTTTTGAAGTAATGCTGTTGCTGACATGGTGGGCTGAGGTGGCGGGGCGTATTGGCGGAGCTCCGGGCCTGCTGTTCTGAAAATTGAAGAGCCTTGATTGGTGGATAGGCAGAGAGAGATGGGTTCTTGAGATGAAGATGGTAGGGTTAGATCGGGTGTTTGTGTTGTTGATTGATTCATGGATCGAATCAAATCTTTGAATCCAATTGTTTGTGTTTGTGGTTGTGGTTGTGTTTGTGTTTGTGGGTGTAAAATTTTGGATGCAGTTGATGATGCAAACAAGCTTGCAAATACACTGCTGTTTGTGCTTCCTGTATTGGTTGATGTGCAACTACCACTACAACTTCCGCTCACTGCCGCCACCACAATTGGTGGTGAATTGTCCAAAACAGGTCTAGAATCTTGATTGGAGGTGGAAATTTCCGGCAAATCTGCGGGCAAATCAGTAATTTTATATAAAGCTTTTCGCTTTTTATTTGCTAGAATTGATGGTACTTACCTGGAGACTTTGCAATACATAAAACTGAAGACGTTACAGGCGGTGTTGGGGCGGCAGTGGGTGGAGGTGGTGGTGGTGATGCTGTTGATGTTGACTGTGGTGTTGATTCTACAGATTGAGGTTTTGGGTCTTCATCTTCAGGTTGACTTTTAGCAGTCTCTACTGCTAATGCATCACAAAATGCTCTGTGGGTGATAAAGCTATCTCTCCTTCATATAAATAAAAGAAATCTTCAACTTTTGTTTAGGGAATAATGAAAGATTTTTATAAATGTATGATACAAGAAGTATATTATATAACCTTGAAAACAGTGTCCCACAATCACATTTGTATTCTCGGGTTCCACATATTTTGAGATGAGCTTTCCAATCGGATTGAACTGCGTATTTTTTTGAGCATTGATCACATTTCCATTTCTTCTCACCATGTTTCCTACAGAAGTGTTTTTTGATCCCTGTGAGATCTCCTAAAGCGCGTGAAGGATCATGGTGAACACATGAGGGCTCAGGACATACATAGACTCTTTTCCTAATCTCTTTGCTTGTTCTCTGTTTAAGCTTCCATGGCAAATTGTGTCCTCTTCTATGGAGTTGCAAATTCTGGTCTCTTTGAAACCCCTTGTTGCAAATTTCACATACAAATCGGTTTGTGGCCATTAATGTTGTGGGAGATAGAGCAATCACCTCTGCATCTGGATCTATATATTGAATATTTGAAAACATAAAAAAAGAAATTAACTTAATTTCCTAATAGGTATATGCTGAAAGAAGTTCTGTTTTGCTTGACTCAAACAGCTTGAAATCAATTCCAGCTGGAGATTTGTTGATTAATCTAATGAAAACCTCCGAATAAAGGCAGCCAGCACAATAATCTTCCAGATTAAGAAAACACATATCGGAATCGTAGTTAGATTATTAGCAAATTTGGATAAGTTCCAATGTTACCTGGCATGCCGGCTAAATTTCGCTTCCTTTTCACTGGCTTTTCCGGAGGCGCCGCCGTCTGATTACCCGGAGAGGAAATACTAGCTTCGCCGGATACCGTGGATTCGTTCACCGCCGACGAGTTGTCCAAGTCGGTGGTCATGGCGACTTAATTATTCTAGGGTTTGCTTCTACTTCCGTTTAGAAAAAGGAGATATCTGTTATCCAACCAAATCAAGTATCGGAAGCACTTTTACTTTTCTAGGGTTAGATATCAAATTTAGTATTACTATCTATGGATCAATCTAACATCGATCGTTTCTACTTCGAACCATAACGCAAATCAAGCAACAGAAGCCATAGCACAAAATCAGCTCAGCTCAAGTTAATTTAGTCTCAAACAGTATGAAACAAGGGTTTCAGACATTTTCCCTAAATTTTAGCACTATTGATCGAACCACAGAGATAGATACAAACAGATCACTAGAATCCGAATTCAAAGCCGAAATCAATAATATCGACAAGAACTAAGAACAAAAGTGATAGAAAGATCTTAGAAGAGAAAGTGAAAATCCAGAGAGAGAAAGTGAGCGAGGGCCGAGGGGTTGCAAAAAGTCTTCGTTTATGAATTTTCAATAAAATATAAATATCAAAGGGGCCAAACTGGGGATAAACCAAAACATTTGGTTGTCTAACCATGGTTACTGTCTAACTCGTGGCTTCTTTAACTATAGTTAGACTAGAATAAGGGTTGTGGTTCCGAAAAGTCAAAGTACTTTTGGTCTTTCTCTTTTCAGTTTTTAACCAATAAAATTTGAACACGTGAGTTATACGGAATATTTTTGAGTGTTCCTGGATAGACACCATATCCCTACTAAGATCACACCATATTTCATTTTTTTAATTTTATTTTCATATTATCTTTTTCTTCACTTTCCTTTTATTTATTTTTTATTTTTTTAATATTTTTTATTTTTAAAAAATTTATTTTATATAAATATTTATTTTGTAGGAAATTAAAAATATATATTTTTTATAATTTTTTAATAGATATAGAATTTAATAAAATTTAAAAAAAAAAAATTGATGAATCACACGATAAGAGAGAGAGGGGGATAGACCCCCCTTATCTTTTTCTCGTACCCTCTAAACCATAGTGGCGGTACGGTGTGTCAATGTGAGGGAAAATATCTTTCACTTTTTTCTCTCTCCATACCTTTCGGCCTAAGGCGAAAGGGAATCGTGTTATAGAAATCACAACTTCTTCACTACCACGTAAACGACATGTCACTTTTTACCATAAAATAGGATTCCTTGTCACACACAAAGAGTGATGTCACATTTCTTTTTTACCAATTTTTTTCTAAAAAAATTATATTTTTAATAAAAAAAACTAACATTTCATTACTTCAAAAAAAAAAAAAAAAAAAAAAAAAAAAACATTACATTGAATTACTTAAAATGAAAAAAAAAAATCCTTAGCACTTAGAAAAAAACACTAAAAATCTTAAACTTACAAACTTAAAAAAAAAATACACATCAAACAATTAAAATAACTTAAGGAAAAAATGTTGGAATCCTAAGTTTTGGGGTCCAAGCAATCTAATTTATGGAAAGTTTAGTTTATAACAAGTTGGTCATAAATTTTCTAGTCTAATACAAGTTGGTATGTTAGACTATATATACGTGTCCATAATCGAGTTTATGATTATGAGAACAGATTGTAAAAATATTGGTTTTGAGTGATTTTCCAATTAATCAAAGAGTTATTTTGGCTATTTTGTTTTGCATTCTTGTTTTCAAAACTTTAATTGGTATCAGAGCTTAGGTTGAGAAGCTGTGAGATCGATTTGTACCTGTTGACGAGTCAGGTCAACATGACAAATACAGGGGGAGAAGGAGAAGCTCCGGTAAGAGTGAAGGAGGTTGGGACAACCTCAGTTTCGTGTCCGATGCTCACATCCACTAACTACACCGTGTGGGCAATGTGTATGAAGGTTGTCTTGCGCATCCACAAAGTCTGGACTGTGATTGATCCAGGAACCGATATCAATGAAGAAAAGGACTGCCTTGCCATGGGTTTGCTATATCAAGCCCTACCAGAAAACCTCATAATGCAGATTGGAGATCAGGATTCGGCCAAGAAATTGTGGGATGCGATTAGAGCACGTAATGTGGGTGCAGATAGAGTCAAAGAAGCGAGATTACAAACCTTGATGTCGGAATTCGATTGCCTGAAGGTGCTCGAGTCAGAAACAATCGACAACTTTGCCGGAAAGCTGTCCGGAATCGCGTCTACATCGTCGGCATTCGGAGAAACGATTGAGGAATCAAAATTGGTGAAGAAATTCCTCAAATCATTACCCATAAACTTCATTCACATCGTTGCATCTCTTGAACAGGTACTAGATTTAAAATCGGTATGGTATGAAGACGTAGTGGGTCGATTGAAGGCATATGAAGAAAGAATTGTTGGGTTTTAGCCATAAGAACTTTCCTATGTGCGCATGCAAAACCCTATTGCTTGGATCTAGGCTTTCTAATAAACATGCTTTTGAATCCAAGACTTCTAATGGCTAATTAGGTTAAACAACAATATTAAAACAGATCTAGAATCATACCTTTGAATCCCTTGTTGATCTTGTTTGTCTTGGAGCTTCTAGAGTCACAATTGTCACTCCTCTAATGGCTTACAAACACCAATAGCAAGCAAGATGATTTAGGAGAGAGGAGAGGGGAGGAATTCGACCAGAGGTTCCTTGCTTAAGGTTGTGTGTGTCGAATTCCCTCATCCATAGGGGCTATTTATACTATTAGACTCCTTAAGGGCTTCACCCTAAACCTTAATTGGATAATCTTCTCTTAAGGCTATCCAAATCCATTCCATAGATAACCCTATGGACGATTTTGAGCTATCCTAAAGCTCTTAGAATCCGTCCAAGGTGTATCCTAATGGATTTATAGTCTAAAGTCTAACTATCAAACAATTGACAGTTTATACCCTCTAATTTAATTAATCTCTTTAAGTCACCAAATTAATACCAATTAATTTATGACTTATATTAATCAAATAGCTAAATATTATTCCTTATAATATTTACTCTCTCTTAATAAATCATCCTTCAAGTTGCTATGGTGAAGGCAACCCAAAAGGACTATGCACCACCGAATATAGTTATAGCCTTAGACACTATTCCAACAGTCTCCCACTTGGATAAGTCTAGTAACTATATAAGTACAATACGGTTTGCAATCGTAGCTCTCAAAGACGCTGTCAACTCTGATCTAATCAATCTTGTCCTTTAGATAAGGGATCGTACAGTCCTCTGTTAGATATCATGCTGACAATCCTATGGAATGGTTAGTCTAGCATTTAGATTTCTCGATCTTCGATTTATTTGACATAGAACTTAATCGAACACATCAATTCAGTTCTGACCGGGCCCGGCACATAAGTCAAATCAAATCATCGAGTAGCCAAAATATCTCTTCTATCCTCTTAGGATAAAATTTACAGATAAACTTCGACTTATATGCATTTACTTATTCATTAACCAACTATACACAACAATGCGTTTTATAACATCAAGTTACTGATGCGTTTTCGCATTATCAATGCACAATCAATTAACAAATAATAAACCATATATCTAGGTTTTAAGACCATATGATATTATCGTCTTGCGATCACCTTTTATATCGTATTCCATAAAGTGATTCCAGCAAGCGCGGGTTTATTCCAATGCTCAAAACCAGTTCATAAGCACTCATGAACGTTGCAGCAACCCTTGTTATGTCTAACACCATTTAGACATTCTACACACCAATTCATGACAATCTTCATTCATATCTACTCCCAACATATGAACGATTGTGGACCATTTGAATAATTCGATTATTCCTAATAAACTCAATTATTCTGGAAGTCAAAACATGCAAAGTGAAACAATAGTTAAACAATTAACATGTGACAGTAACTTTACTCATAAATAAAACTCCTTTATTTAATCATCAAACGTTAATTACATTTATCTATTATACGTTTCTAATACTATCTAACCCATGCTAATATCATCCTTCAGCCCAATACTCCTAGCATGCTGCAAGTGCTTAACCTTACTCAGTCCCTTCGTAAGCGGATCTGCTGGGTTATCTTCTGATGATATCCTCTTCACTACGAGTTGTCCTTCTTCTACACGATGTCTAATGAAGTGATATTTTCTGTCGATATGTCGAGATCTACCATGATCCCTCGGTTCCTTGGTCAAGACAACCACACCTTCGTTATCACATAAAATCTCCATGGGCTCCTTTATGGCCGGCACAACTCCAAGATCACCGATGAAGTTCTTAAGCCATATTGCCTCCTTCGACGCTTCGCTCGCTGCGATGTACTCTGATTCGCACGTTGAATCAGCTACGGTTTCCTGCTTGGAACTTTTCCATGTCACTGCTCCTCCATTTAGGGTAAAGACCCAGCCCGACTGCGAACGGTAGTTGTCCCTGTCGGTCTGAAAGCTGGCGTCACTATACCCTCGCACCTTCAAGTCATCACTCCCTCCAAAGACTAAGAACCATTCTTTCGTCCTCCGAAGGTACTTAAGGATGTTCTTCACCGCAATCCAATGTGCTTTGCCAGGGTTCCCTTGATATCTGCTAACCATGCTCAAAGCGAAGGCTACATCAGGGCGAGTACAAGTCATAGCGTACATGATTGAGCCAACTGCGGAAGCGTATGGTACTCGGCTCATTTCTGCTATCTCAGCTTCGGTACTCGGACTTTGAGTCTTACTCAACTTGGCATTTCCTTGTATCGGTAGTTCTCCCTTCTTTGAGTTTTCCATACTAAAACGTTTTAGTACCTTCTCCAAGTAAGTATTCTGACTAAGTCCAATTAGTCTCTTACTTCTTTCTCTTACTATCCTTATTCCCAAAATGTAAGAAGCCTCTCCGAGGTCCTTCATAGCGAAGCACTTCCCGAGTCAGGACTTAACCTCCTGCAGAGTCGGGATGTCGTTTCCTATGAGTAATATGTCATCGACATATAGAACGAGGAAGCTTACTATACTCCCACTGGCTTTGACATATACACAAGATTCGTCTTCGCTTCGTACAAATCCAAACTCTTTGACTTTCTCATCGAAGCAAAGATTCCATCTGCGAGACGCTTGCTTAAGTCCATAAATGGACTTCTCAAGCTTACACACTCTATTCGGATGCTTCGGATCCACAAACCCCTCTGGCTGAGCTATGTAAACATCCTCAGCCAACTTTCCGTTAAGGAAAGCGGTCTTGACATCCATTTGCCAAATCTCATAATCATGAAATGCGGCAATTGCTAGCATCACTCTAATAGATTTAATCTTCGCAACTGGTGAGAAGGTCTCATCATAGTCAACTCCGGGAGTTTGAGTAAAGCCCTTCGCAACCAATCGCACCTTATATGTGTGTACGTTCCCATCCACGTCGGTCTTCTTCTTGAAGATCCACTTGCACCCTACGGTCTTACGTTCGGGCACGTAATCAACCAAATTCCAAACTTGGTTATCGTACATGGATTGGATCTCGCTATCCATCGCCTCTTTCCATTTCGCAGACTCCGGGCCTGCCATGGCTTCCTTATAGCTATTAGGTTCATCAAGATTTACTAGTGTACCATCACTAATATACGTGTCCCCTTCGGTAGTAATATGAAAACCATAAAACTGGGGATGAACTCTAACTCTATCGGAACGTCTAAGAGGTAAGGATTCGTCA